ACTCTATGTACAAGTACAAAAGATGTGACAGTGTCAAAAGGAAGGAAATTCCACTAGACACATCAGTGCAGCTGTGTTTTTAATAAAGTAGCAGTTTAAATTGTTTTATTCTAGGTTACATTGCATAGGAAATAAGCTTCTAGACAAGGGAAATCCTTACCTAGAACTAGAGCTATTAAGAAACAGGTTTTGGAGAAACAATTGTTTGTAAGGAGAGCTACCTGAGGTTAGGATTTGCAACAAATACCTAGGAAAAAACAGAAACAGATTTGAACAAAATATTGGCATTTGGTTAGTCTGTGATGTCATAGACCTGCTGAAGTTGAAGGGTCCTTGACAGCATCTACCCCTTAAGGATAAACAAAACTGAATTTGAATTGAAAACATTAGAAAAATGAGTAAAACTGAGACAAATGAGAAGCTTGTATTTGTCCGAGACAACATCACTTAGGAATCTTAAAAGAAGGTAATAATAATTAAAGGCATCTTTTGAAAGTATAAAACAAATGAATCTTAAAGTAGAAAAACAAGTTTGTGGAGCTGAAAAAAAATAGGAAAAAGTGGGGGGAACAGTAAGAGAAGCATCTTAAAAGGAGACTAAAAATGGAAAAAAGGGTCAATAGAAGCACGGTGCAGAGTTGTGGGTTTGTTGCAGCAGAGTTAACACGACAGATACTGCCATGGTCATGCCATGACCAACAGTGCCTTCTTCCTGAGGAAGAAGTCTTTAATGGCAAGTATGGAAATTTCTATAAAAACAATTAATATTTTAAAAGAAAGTTGGGGTTTTTCGTTAATTTTTTTTTTGTTGAGGCTTTTTGTTATTGATTTTATTTTTAAAATTTTTATTCCTTTTATGTGTCTACAACTGAAATACAATATATAATTGAAAATTTATAATTAAACCTGTTTCTGGATACTACAAGCGAGAGTGGGGGTAAATTTTTTAACTGCTTGAACCAGTTCTTTTCCAATTAAAAAAGTTTATCAAAAACCCTGATCCTTTTTGTCTAGAATTGACTCATTTTCATTGCTTTAAATACCTTCCTTTCTGCAATGATTTTCTTTAAATCCTGAGTTCTGTTTCAATCTTGGGTGAACATCAAGATAACATGATATGCTTGTTCTCTGCTCGTACTCATCATTCTTTTGCATATCTTAGCTCTGGTGCATGAGAGAGAGATCTTATTTACATAAAGTACATAGACATTTGATTTTGCAGTCAATGTTGTATGTCAATATTAAGACATAACTCTTAAATTCAGTTCTCAGCTATTCAGGTAATAATTCTAATGCCCTATGTGTAAGTTCTATGAATGTTATTAAAGTAATTTTCTTGACATTTATTTATGAACATATTGTTGATATTTAAATAATCTGTACCTGGAGAAATGCAAACCAGTTAATCAGGAACATTGGTCAGTTTTGATTTCAATTATTAAATCATATTATTTTATTTGTTAAAGGTTTAATTCTAACATGCATTTTAGCTATAGCTGGAGAAGCACATCTGCAAGACAGAGCTACACTCTAGTCCCAGTATTGGTTTTTTGACCAACATTAGTAATATTACAAGCCTATTATGCTAAAGAGTTGCATTTGTAATAATTGAAATATATGGTGCATCTATGGAGCTCTAATTATAGAACAAGCAGAAATGAAAATAATGCATTTTTATTGTCAGTCAGATGTAGATTCTCCTGAGGAAATTAATCAATATCCTATTTCAAATTCCCTAATCACCTCCAAGATATTTTTCACTCCTTCTCAATCCTCAGGTTCCTGTCTTTGTTTGATTCTGGGCAGTGGTGAAGGAGAGAAGTCAGAGAAACAAAAGAAGGGACAATGTCTTCTTAACAGAAGACAGCTCAGGGGGATTACCTGACTAGAATGTACTATTCTGTGCATATAACCTGCAGAGGTGAGAACTGCTTAAGGAGTAGTAAGTTCTTGGTGACATCACTGGTGCCACATAAAGCATTTCTAGAGAGGGACCTCTTTGATATTCGACCTTGATGCAAAAATACATGAAGGAATTTTTATCTGCCTTTTGTTGCTTATATCTTTATGTAACCTTGTAAATCTGTAGCTCCGGATGTGCTGCATTTGCTTTTTTGTCATGACATGAGATGCGAGTGATTTCAAATTAACTGGTCAATACTAGTGCATTAATGCATAAAAAAATAACCACATACTTCCTGGATTCTAAAGCCTGCAGATCAAGACTCCGTGCTATGGGATAATCAGACCTGCAACTCTTCTTTAAGCTGCACTAGCTAAAAAACTGCCAATTCAAAATATTCTTGCCTTAGAGACAGGTTGCTGTGGCAAAAGCAAAACGAAATCCCCAAACCCCAACACAAAACCCAAGTAAGATAATCAGAGCTAACCAAATGTTAAAAAAAATATTTACATCAGGTTTACAGTCTGAATAAGAACTCAAAGCCATCATAGTGTAGTCTTTCATGCAAATCTTAAATTTTTGGGCTGGCTTTTGTCTGGGATTTTCTAGACATTTTTAGAGAGGTGATCTTGTGTATCTCCCTGAAAGAAATACTACCTGAACAACAGATCTATTATACAGAATTAATGTGTCTGTAGGTTTTAATGCAGCAGACATGAGACAGACCAAAACGCACAGTAGACATTTTTGAGCTACAGTGACAAACACAGAGGGTGAGATGGAAGCAGGTGGTTGCCACAGCAGGGTTTATTGCCTGTAAAGATTTTGTATGTGTCACCTCTGCTTTGCACAGCAGCTTCAGAGTTGCTGATTTAGGGCTACAAGACATGTGAGTTTCCAAATGGGGACAGGGTGAAGGGGCCAACCTGGTGTGTTGAGGTGCTCAGTGAATCCCATTGTACCTGCCATGGCTAATCCCATGTCCTGCACCACATTTCCTGCATAGATCTGGCCTTCACAAGGTGTCTTCAGGAGATCCCACAGCCTGTCTCACCATCCCAACCCCTGCAGTGAAACTGCAGCAGTCCAGCCCTGAAAGCAATGTAGAAAACTGCAGCAGCTTTTAGACAACTAAATGACCACTCATTTAAATACCCTCTGCTCTCCTGGAGACTGATTCTTTTTACAGACCAGCTCCACTCAAGACAATAGCATGCAGTACATGATTGTAAAATCAGTATAAATGGGATCAAAACCAGATCCATTAACTCTAATTAGGGAATGTGGTGTGATCCTATTTCACTGCACTGTATACAGCCTCTGTGGCTGTTATTTCAAGTGACAGACGTTTGTTTCCCAGCACTTAACTTGCACATAGAATTAATGGTAATGCATCCAAGAACTGATATTGCTAATATGCAGCATTAGCATAGCTCTCTCTGTCCCTAGCTTCTGCTGAGAAAAGGATTCCAAAAAGAGAGAAAAATAGCTCAGACCCTGTGGAATAATGACATTTCTGTCTTCTGTAGTGAAGCATTTCAGCCTGAGGAGTGTTGAAAATACAGACTATTATTTACTTTTCATGGTAGTGGAAACCATTTTCAATGGATTGCACATTTCTATCAGGGCATATCATTTGCTCTTCCTAGAAGCAGGAAAATTCTGCAGACAGATTTTTGCCTGTCTTTAAACCCCTGACCAGCTGACTAACTCCCAAGGTTTAATAGCTGGTAGGCGTCTGTAGGCAAAAGTAAAAGAAACGAGTTCATCAAGGAACTACATCATGCTTCCAACATGTGGCAACATGAGTGCCTCTTCACCATCTGTTATTTGTGTGAGGATTTTATTATGTAAATGACAGTACACACTGCGCCCTAAACAAAGGAAGATCATTCCCCTTACAGTATGTTGCGACTGCCAGGCTTCTGTATCAGCCCCGAAACAAATAATGAAAGCAGCAGAGCCATGGCAGGCAGAATAGCTTGGGTTCTTCTACTTCTCCTCTCAAAAGGGAGCAAATATCTTGATGAATAATTTGGTTTTTGCATGTATTGTAACTCATAAAGACGTATAGTCAATGAAACAGCGAGGAGTATACAGGTGAAACTAAACTGAGGTGAGATTTACAGGCTTAAAAGAGATTGAAGAGACAATCCTGTAAAACTGTGGAGACTTCTAAACTCTCTGGTGTCACTGAGGGCCAAAAATAGGATACTCGGCTCCTAAATCATCTGCAACAGACAAAAGGTGTTGTGGGATAGGGTTGGAAGTAAAATTCTGCCCTACATCCTGATTTAAAATTTTCCATTAAATTACCAATTTAAATTGAAATGTAATTATCTTAGCTGGCATCTTTTTGGCAACTGTAATGAAAAAAAAAAAAAAAGAAAAGAAGAAAAATCCCTATGCTACACTGGATCAAGTAAAAGCCCATAGGAGTTCTAACACTGGCCCTTAATCAAAGTCTGCAAAGACACAAAAGCTTTGAGCTAATCTATGCCAAGCCATGTTGGACAGTATGGCACTGCCAAGAGCATCCTTCTGGTGGCATTTAAAGCACCTGGTGCCCTAGGAAAAGAAATCATATCCCAGGCTGTAAATTCTCCATTTTCGTTATACCCATCTACCAACCAACAGGGGTTGCTGTGACAGCAGCACAATACTGCATGGGAAAGAAAACACACCACTATTTTTATTGCATTAATTTTTTAAATGTGTGGTGCACAAGTAGTTATCTGTGCACACTCTCTTCCTTATTGGGTGTTTCATGTGGTTTAATATAATTAAAACACTACTGTATTTATTGGTTTAACTCAAATCTTAATTTGATAATTGGAAAAGATACACATAAAGGATTAATTTTTATTCCAGATTAATTTAGAAGTAACTGAAAGCAGAGTCAGAATTGACCAGATTGATGATTTTAGGGTGCATGGTTACTTCTATTGCATTGTTTTTGTGTGATTTCTTATGCTTGTATTTGTCAGCTTTTCCTGACTTAATTATGATTAAGTGTTGAACTTTACAGATGGCCAAGTGCTGGCACTGCTGTATTGATCAATTGCTTTTATTAATGTGTTAAATTTTGTGGTTGCAGCAGGATCATATTTTGCGATAGAACAGCTAGTAGCTGGAGAATTCTGACATGAAAATCCCAAGCATCCCAGATTTAGCAGGTATTCATTTTTTTCCAGTTATCTTTTTTTTAATTATTATTATTATTTATTTATTCATTAACATCTAACTTCATTAAAGATACCTGGAATGTTTTCATGCTAAAGGAAAAACCTGTGTTACTTTTTAACGGGTAGCAAAGAAAGAATAGAATGTGTACAGAAAGAACACACCTACAACTGATGCCTGGAAGCATAAGTGCAACTGGCTTTTTTTTTTTTTTTTTTTTTCCTGAGGTCCTCAAAATCAAAATCTATACTTTTTGTGAGAACCTGTTGTCACCAGGGTTTTTCAGAATTATAAATCAATGGCAACTGTAATCTAATTCCTCAAGTCTAACTATTTGGTTCAAGTTTCCAAATGTGAAATAAGCTTGCTTTCATCATTTCAGATATCAGAAGCAGCTCAAATTAAATTAGGATATTGATGAATATTTCTGTGTCCTAATCTTTTCCTCTCATAACTCATGTCTAAAATTCAGACATCATTTGAAGATAAATTTTTGCATAGATGTTATTCAAAACAGCCTGAAAGATCTTTGTCATGTGGAATGGTTCTCAAAATTAGGGAGAAATGTGAAATATATATAGATTTTTTCAGCACACTTTTTAAAGCACTACTTACTTCCTACACATTTCTGAGCCTGTTCTCCTCTTATTCTATGAATAGTGATATTTTCATGAGTAGCATGGATGAAGTTATTAATTTTGTGTCTGATTTACTTCCATTTGAAGTTATGCTTTCCAGAGTGTCCTGTGCTGACAGACTCTTTCCTTATACCACAAAACTAAACTAAACTCTAACTGTAGAACTTCTGTCTTTTATCCAACAAATGTTGTTTTATACATAACATATATTCATATATGAAATTGACAATTATTTTTTTATTCTGAACCTTAGAAGTGATGTTTCAAAGAGGAACACCAATGTTATTTTTCTTGAGATACAACATGTTGCATGTAACCATAATTATTCATTCCTTTATAAATGTTTTTTCTCTACTGGTTTGTATATATGTATACTAATGGGGAGCAGGTACATAATAAACACTCTGTAGGGCTGAAGTCTTCGAACCTTAGAAGCCTGGAAATTACATTATTCATATCCTATATAATATATTACCGAGTCATCTGTTTTCTGTTTCTCAGAGCTCTTTGCTGTGGGGAAAGGAGACCAACATGCTCACAACTCACTGATTTGAGCAGGAGCTGAAAAACTAGGGAGAAAAATCATCCCACTCTGGCCATGGTCACAGCAAGAGGACTTCAGCCCAAGGCAGCTGTGCTCTGCAGCTGGCCCTGAAGGGCAGCAGAGAGAAGGCACAGCCACCACACCCTGAGAGAGAAGGGTTTGCCACAGTCCCTGGCACCACTGGGATGGCACGAGTGAGATGCCAGCAGACATCTCTGCAGGGTGCTAAGCTCAGCCCCAGCTGTCAGAAATGCCTTCCAAGCCCTTTGGTCAAACAACAGGGGGTCTTAGAAGGTGTTAAAAGCACTGGCCAGCCTTCTGACCTAGGGTTGTAGAACAGCATCACAGAGGAAAATATTCTGGTCCTGGTTTTTGGACGTCAGAGAAAATAGAAAATGAAGTTGTGGCTCAGGTTTAGTAGTTGGTTATGCTATTTGCACATGCAAAACTCCAGAGGAAAAAAACCTAAGCAAAATGAAAACAGAGAATTGTAAAGCAAAGGCCTTTCCATTCAAAGTTTTCCTCCAGAATGCCAAACAAAGGTAACAACATAACAACGTAACAATTATACAACCTGAATAACTTTTCTATCTTTATTTCCTGTAAATTCAAGTTGATCCTTACACCTCACCTAAATTCTGATACATCTCCTCTTGATTTATATGAGATTTTTAACCTCATTTATATGAGGTTTTGCAAAACAAATTTAATTCCTAATTGCTACTTGATGGTGCTATCTGTTGGTGTTTCTTCTCTTACTTTCTAGATACCTGTTTGTTCTGGTGTTGCTGCCAAGACACCTTTTTTCCCATGCCACCAATCATTTCAATCCTTGTTTTAACACTGTATCATTTATTATTTCTTTCACAGTGCTTTCTTTTCTTTCTTTCAGTTTTATTACTGTACAATCTCCAAGATATCTAGCAGCTCTTGGGATAGATTAAATAGATAGAGCATGGTGGACTGGATGTCTAAGACTTAATACTTTTTGTAGCTGCCAATAGCTTTGAGCATGTCAGTTTGTCATTCAATATTTTTGTTTTTCTCTTCTCATTTCTAGTAATGCATATAGAGATTTCCCCCTTTGGAGCAAAATGCCAGGATGCTCACAAGAGTTGTATAGATAGAAAATGGTGCTGATAGCAGCAAAAGAAGAAAGCTTTCATCATCCAAACAACATGGACCTAAAGATGTTGGAAACTAAAGGCCAATTATTCCCTGAGGTGCATGGCGGGGCCAATTCCACTGTAATCATTCTTGTGGTTGTGAAGGCAGAAGAGGACCTTGACTGCCTGTAACTGGACTTTGTCAGGCCATTTGTTTGTGACCAGAGTTGTGTCATTACTGTGGTTTTTCAATACAAGGATGTTCACTGAGGCATCACATTGATATTTTTGAAGTATGTTCCACATTTTCAAAGGAACGAATTTATCAGCATAGAATTGAAATGTCTAGCTGCTTCAGTATGCAATTGACATGCAAGGGCATTCATTTTTCACCTACTGGATGTAAGGCAATGAGACCCCCACTGGATTGCTGCATCCAGCCCTGGAGTCCCCGGCACAGGAAGGACAGAGACCTGTTGGACTGAGGCCACTAAGATGATGAGAGGGATGGAGCAGCTCCCCTAGAAACAGCTGAGGGATTTCAGATTATTCAGCTTGGAAAAGAGAAGTCTTCTGAGTGACCTAATTGCAGCCTTCCAGTACCTGAAAGACAGAAAGAGACTATTTACAAGGGCATGGAGTGACAGGACAAGGGGGAATGACCTCAAACTGACAGAGACTAGGTTTGGATTAGATATTAGGAGGCATGATGAGGCCCTGGTACAGGTTGTCCAGAGGAATTGTGGATGCTCCATCCATGGAAGTCATCCTGGACAGACTGGATGGGGCTCTGAGCAACCTGGAGTAGTGGAAGGTGGCCCTGTCCTCAGCTAGGGGTTTGGAATTTAGATGATCTTTGAGTCCCTTCCAACCCAAATCATTCTGTGATTCTACAGTTTTCAACAAGTAAAGACATGTTAAAGAAAAGATGATTAGGCCAAACCTTGTTCCTTTTTCCAAAGTAATTATGTGGGAAATCTTGTCAGGCTTTAATCTCTGAGTCCTGTACTAAACCAGCCCCTTGCAGGTATTTTAAGTTTTTTGGTCTTTCTGCAAAATAAGGCCTTTAGCAAAGACCATTGGACCTTCCATTAAGTACGTTCACAAAATCGGAAGAGGGATCCTGTTCTGGCTGACACATGTGACTTTTCAGCCTGAGAGCTGAAATGGCTTCTGCAGGACCATCCAGCAACCAAGCTGATTCCTTGGGCACTGAATATCTGGCATCACTTGCTAAATATGCTAAAGAAAGCAAGGCTGAAGGTGTATAGTTATGCTGCAACATCAATTCCTCCTCTGGGATGTATGGAAAATGGATGAGTGAGCCCAGTCTGCCTCTTTGCTTTTGGTCCAGTTGGAGTAATTGGTGCCTTTTTCTGCAGCATTTCTCAGAAAAAAAAAAAAAAAAAAAAAAAAAGCAAGAAGGTAAAAGGAGGAAAAATCTCTTCATGGAGTGTTTTATGCCTAGGATCAAGACTTTTTGAAGGATTTAACTCCTAAATACAAATGAAATATGCAATCAACTATAACAGCTATCGGAAGATGGAGGGAAAAATGGAGAGGAGAGGGAAAGGGAAACACTTCCAGGGGAGGTGATGCTGTTTGGAAAAAATGTCTCTTACAGTTTGGCATCTAGCTGTTAACATACTCTTGCCAACCTGTGAGTTCATTTGAGGTTTATAGCAAGTTACAGGAAGAATAAAAAGTTAATCATGTGCAGAGCCTTGGTGTTGTATTCTTGCCATCAATTTCAATAGCAGTAATAACATACAGACTGTGAAGAGATTAAAGAATGGCACAAGCTGCTTTCTACTTCAGCTTGTAAATTTATTTCCATTGGAACTTTAATTTGTGTGGTTTTCATCCAAATTTGAAGAGATGATGATGTGAGGTCTAAAAACACTATGGGTCTGGGGTCAGATTCTTCTATCAGTTTTTACGTGCAATAGACATGGGGAGTTTTCTCCCTCTATCTAAAAACAGAGCAATATTTTATTGAGGTCCAAACCCACAAAAAGATATAAAAGGAACAGTGGGGGAACTCAATTATGAAGATGGTTACTTAACAGAAGACTTAACTACATGTTGTAGCCTGTATCTTTTTAACAATCTCAACAGTTCCTATTACATATTTTGGGGATTTGAAGCTGAGGAAATCTATTGAAATACTGTCTGAGCCTGGATTAGCACTCCAGACTAAAGATTAATTTAATTTTCTTTTAAGAGTTGTAATTTTTTTCTTTCTTTTCAGTTTGTAACTATGCTCTTTACTGTCATCAGCTGAGATAAAAGTTCTAAATGCATCGAAAATTATCATTGACACTTACAATGAAGAAATAAGCTTCTCAAAAACAAAACATGTACTCGGAAGTCTTTTCAGTGGATTAAACTTTTTCCTTTCTATTTCTGAAATACTTTTGAGTGGCAATCACTTCTCTGAAAATCTGCATTTTTTTGTTGTTTACAGCTGCAAATTGGACAGAGATGTTTTGTTCTTTGCTTTCATACTATACAAAAGGTGTGGCAAATTTTACTCATGGCATATATGTACCATTAGCTACATTCATATCTTTATTAGCATATTAACATGCATTTGAGTTATCCTGATATATTGTAAACACAGTGGATCTGAGGTATCTAACAGCATATAAGGATTTATTATTTTATTTAAAGGATGCAAAATGCAGCAAAAACTTGCTGTAGGTGAGTAATCCTACTTATCAGAGATGAATTTTAACAACGGCAGTTCACAAATTTCTGCTGTCCTTTGGGGAAAACAAAGAAATTGATTGTAGAAAAAATGTTGTCTTTGCATTCCTTTACTTCTTGTCATTTTTTCTTTGTTTGATGTATCAGTTTCTTGTATAATGCTTTCTCCCCTTGTTTATCAAAGTTACTAATTTATGTTCTATTGATGCACAGCAGTTCTTTAAGCTTAGACTTAGTACTTGGCTGTCAGTAAGAAAGATGAGAAGCAAAAGTGTGAAGGATTTTTCCAGGGTAAGTCCAGATTTACAGCCACATTTCCAAGTGGAGAACTTAGGCAGGTATAAAAAGTTGGATTGCAGAAAAGTAGAACAACTATTACTTTTTCTTGGGAGACAATATAATTAGATTTACGTGTTTAATATAGTTATTAAGATTGGTTAATATTCAACTACTTTGATTTGTTCAACTATTTCACTACATAAAATAGTCAGATTTTGTGATCTGTTTGGGTTTTGTCTTGCCAGCTGCCCTGCCTCTTTCCCTTCCCTTTGCTCCTCTTGCCTCATTTGCAGTGTTATTCTAGATATGGGAGTGAAAGTTTCCTAATTATCTTAACTTATCCCATTTGGAAGATTTTTCTCAAAATGCTAGTTATTTGGCTTTTAACCTTGGGTTATTTGTAATGGTTGAACCCCTGCTCCCTTTCTTTTTTTTTCTTTTGTTTTTTTTTTTTTTAAAGAAAGTGTAAAATTTGTTCAACAGTGCTAAGGTCTAGTCTAACCTAAGTTTACCAAGATTTCTGGACACATCTAATATTGTTTGTGTGTATGTACCCTTCTTATATGCATGGAGATTAAGCTGGCCTTACTACAGTACTGATCTGCACTAGAAATATGTTGTCTGTAGGTACCAGCATGCTAAGGTTCTAAAAAGAGTTGGTTGATAATTTGAATTTCAACAGGCAAGACAAGGGAGAGAAAACATTAAAATTTTGTGAAATAGCTTATCTTCTTCAGTGTTGTTACTTAAAAAATTAAAACTTGAATCTTGATGCTTCTTTCCATTCCCCCAAGAAAATTTTATACTTCAAGAATGGCCTGAAGGCTTAGTAAGAGTTTAGTAAGAATGTAGGAAGGTCACCATCTTTCTTGATGAAGGTTTATCTCATAAATTTCTGCCTCATTCTTCAAAATAAGGAGGGAGTTCTCTGTCTAGGTCTGTGATTTACACATACATTGATTTTACATTCATCTAAACTAGAATGTGGCGCCTGTCAGTTGTTTCCTGGATGCCAGTGTGGTTATATTCCTGACCCAAAGGGAAGGCACGTGGATTCCTTGTAGTTCCAGCACTGCAGGTAGAAATATTAAGGGTATGATTTCACTTATTTGAAGTTACCAAAAATGCTGGAAGAAGGAGTCAATGCCAAATAGATAGGCTATTTAATTTTGTTTATTTTCTCTCCTAGAAGATTGGTTACATCAATAAGAAATGCTGAAAACCTGTGTTTGAAAGAAGCAACTGTTATGGAGTCAGAAAAAAGTAAAGTAGAGATTGTCTGAGTTCCCTGAAATCTTGACTGATAGATAAATATGAGGTGAGCTGCAGTGACAGTGGTGAGAAAGCTGACTTTCAGAAGTAAAACACACTAGACTATTCTTTCAGTGGTAGAGGAATGTCTGCATTTTTCTCATAAATTTCTTGGGGGAAAAAAAAAACATTTTGTGCATGCTGTACTCAGTTTGAATTTACACAATTAAATGTGCAAAATTAAATAAATTTTAAAAATAATATTTCTATACTAGTATGTTGCCATGACAGTATTTCTCCTGGTATATACTTGAATGTAATAGTAATAATACTGTACAGTGCTGTATATTTATGTATTATACATATTCATTTTTTCTACATTGACTATGTCGAATAATTTGGCTTTTGTAATTTATTTTGCTAAAAGATACACTGTTTTATGTCTATTAATGGATGTACATACAATTTACTAAAACTATTTCTTTCTGATTTTTAACTTCTGCTGAAACCATAGCATAATCATAGTATGTAGAGAGTAATATCCTTGCACATCCTGAGGCCTTAGCTGGCAGAGTTGTCAAATTAAACTGGAACATTTTGTAAGTGTATCTTTAATAAATACATATGTCTGTCATGCTTCCCTACTCAGTCTTATAAATCAGACTGTATCCAGCTGTCAGATACTCTCAACCCGGTTGTCCTAATCTGTCAAGTAAAAATTATAGCATCTAAGCTCCCATCCTTCTCTGAAAATATTTATTTATACCAGTGACATGTCAAGGACACATCATTTTTTGAATTTATTTTTTTCCCCAGCAACAAAACCATTAACATCTGGCTCAAGTCCCTGCCAGGAGGGCAGTGGTTAATACATGAAGGGAATTTATCATGTAGGAATGCCCCAGCCAAGAAAAATAAATGCTGCATAGGATTTTAAAAAAAAAATCTTGCAACATGCCAGATAGGGAGCATTCAGCCTTGTTTTACTCAGAGTACAACAGTAATTTTATTGCATTTATCATCCTCACCCCCATTCATCTACAGATGAGCCTCCATTCCCCTCTTGCAAAGAGGCTGCCTCTATGTCTTGTGTCTCTGCAGTGTCTGGTAATTAACCATTACAATTCTGATGACATGTCAGACACATCATAAACTATTGCTGCAGCTTGAGAGAAGGATTTAAACACACCACAAAGAGTAACAAAGCTGTTGGTTATTCTGCTTCCATCAACTCTCCCTGAACAGAGAGTACATTACCAGAAGTTGAGAGCTGCGGGAGATGGAAGTGTAAGAAAAGAAGGAATCCTTGGTATTTTTAAAAGAATAAGTCTCTTTATTTCATATGCATGAACAGATGTTAAAGAACATGGCTTGTCACTTGTCTTTTTTAGAAATTTTAGACTGCACTCTACTCAAAATAACCCTTGGACCTCACCTGCCTTCAGTCTAAGACAGGAAGAAAATGAATATGAAATCTTGTGCCCAAATAATTAAAGAACAAAAGTTTATCTCAAATTTGCAACTCATTCTAGTAATCCTAACAATACTTCTTCATTTTTCTTTTATTTTTTTATCTCTGAGTAAATTCTCAATATTTTTTTTAAGTGTGACGGATTCACCTTTATTTTGAGCCTATGTACTCACATTATCTAGTTTCTGTGGTGATCTGAATTGTTTTGACTAAAGGATTGCAACGTCTCATAAAATAAGAAAATGTCATTTCCTCCCTTTTTCCTGTACTAAAATAGACCCGCTTGCTGGTTGCCCAAAATAAAGTAATAAGAATCTACAGATAAAACAGTTGGATTCTAGTTTGATATATTATGTGAAGTTACTGAAGTTTCAGACTTCTTACTCTGGATATTCTGGAGAAAGTACTGACAGGAGAGAAGACCTTCTCCAGAAATCAGAAGGTCTGTTCTTTCATGAGCCAAGGATGAGCAGGACAGGACATGAAGGACATGAGCATCATTGAGACATTCTCTAGAAATCAGCCATAGCTTGGCTTGATCACTGTGTAAAGCATGGCCACAACTCTGCTTTCTCTGGCACTAATTGCTGAAGGAACTGCTTTCAGAAGAAGGGTGATACTTTCTCAATAATAATGACTGTTGCCTCAGCGCCAGAAGTGAGTGGAACTTGAGTCAATGTGCTGCACATGGGAAAACAGTGGGAATAGCCTGGGGAGGAAGCACGTTACCTTGCAATCATGAAAGGAGTTAATCACTTTGGAATTCCCCCAAGTGTATGACAGAGAACTGTAGTCATCACAAATGAAATCTTTCATCAGTGGCATTTAACTAGTTATCTCTTTCTCTGACAGGCTGTCTTTTTTAACAGGAAATAGAGTCCTTTTTTTTAAACTCCATTACAGTTGTTTTATTAATATTATTTATAATGAGCTTTTGGAGAATTGAAATATGATAGATGAAGTGAAAAAAAAAAAATCTGAAAGCAAAGTGTTTTTAAAAACCAGAGTCCAGAAACTATATATAATGAAGGTTGGTTTGGCTTCCGTAGTGTGGGTAACTTTTAAACTGATATAGCTGTTTGTTTGCTTTTCCTAAAAGCCCCAGGCTAGTTCAAGCATAACCATTCAATTTAAGCAGAGTCTGATGAAGAGCAGTCCTATGGACTGTGCTAGGCTGTGATGGATGTTCACTGTGATCCTTTCTGCCCTTGAGATCCGTATGTATCTGAATGAACCACAAACAACACATGAGAATTTTGAAACCAGATAATTAAATGACTGCAGTGCTGGTAGGTACAAAGTAGAAGAAACATGGATGCAAAGCTAACAGATGTGGGAGAAAAACAGTGCTATATTTTCAATCTCTCAAGACAAAAAAATTCAAAAATTTAAACAAAAATTATGAGTGACTGATAAGGGGAAGAAACCTTGGATTTCAATCTGATAAAATCAGTACAAAAAACAACAGCAACAGCAATGAAGTTTGGATGATTTTTACGTTTGCAAAACGACAGATAAGATAAAAGCCATTTTCTTTCTGGAATCTGGATAGTACTAAAACATTAAAGAACTTTAATTTGAAATGGTATAGGTCAAATGTTACTTGATTTTTCCCTGCGTGTGAACTTTTCTTTAACATTTTACAAAGATACACATGGAAAGTGGGCTGAAGAAAGGCTTATTGTAGATCCAGACATATAAGGAAGCAAGAAGAGAATGTTCAACTTGGGGAATTCTACTGTTTTTCTTGCGGTAACAGCATTCCTCCTCTGGTTTTAAGAAATCTAATTCCTTTTTGTTATACTCTCATAAATGTGTGGTAATAGTAACTTTAAAGGGCACTATATGGATTTACACTCTTGAACCATTTTCATAATGTTTCATGCATTTTTGCCAAATAAACCATTGATGTTCTTACATAGAATTAACTTGGTGATTAAATTGAAGGTATTAGTTGCAGAAAATTCACCATTAGTCTTCTCTAGAGAAGGGTGCAGTTTTTAAATACACATAGTGAATTAATCATGAGCTTGTTTCCCTGAACAAAAGCAGTATTTAAAAGATTTTATTGTGAAAGAAGTTTTATCATGCATAATGAAGTGTTATTAAAGTACAGAATGATTACAAGTGACTAACCCCACATTAGGCCCTGGGAAATGTGTGCTTGGAACAGCCAGAAGTAAGTACAGAGGGCCTGATATAAAGCACGTTGAAGTCAATGGCTATTTTCCATTGTCGGCAGTGGACGTAAGGTTGTTCAATTTCATGGTACGGAAAAAATTTATTTTATGGAACACACATGCACAAAGAAACAGAACTTGTTCCCTAAATACATGTGCTAGTTCCTGATGGTTTTTAACGGGAAACATGTGTGCAGTGCGAGGTGAGCACATTGAATTACCCAGCTTTTTGTAGGGAATTAGTCACTTTTGCAGGGGAATCAATATCTAATCACAGGAGCCAATCAACAGTGCTTCAGTTCAGTTGAACATGCCAAAAACATGCTGTGAGATACGAGTTTTAATTGGTTTTCTGACTCTTTAAAAACTAGAGACTGGAGGAGTTAGACTGTCTCAGAACCAAGCAATGAATTTATGACTTATTTTTCTGAACTGGGAAATAGGACAGTGAAAAGCATTTCTGTATAATGTATATGGCTCCACAGAAATAGAAAACACACTAACTAAAGAGTCTTAATATCTATAGTAAATGCAATAAGCAACGTCTCCAGTAAACTCATGATTGTATACATGAAAATATAAAAATTCACTACCTTTTGTGTCCTGAGGAACTGTGTATTCCTCCAGGCTATAAATCCCATCATGGACATCAACCTCAGTATGAGAAATGATTGTCATTTGATATAAAGAAAGATTTTCAACATTTAATATGTACTTCTTAGGTATAATGATTGTTTTAAGCATTTTCTTTCTGGAAAAGACAGATATAACCCATGCCATACCATAGTATCCAATCCCCAAAGGGAGCATCTTTTAACAACCAGCCAATCCTCCAGCTCTTTTTAAATTATTATTGAAAAACTGCTGTTACGATTGTACTCTTGCACAGATTGCAGTTGTCCAAAGGGTTTTTTTAAATGTATATCTAAAACCACAGCTCTTAAATATATGTAATATATAACACATAAATATATGTGTTAATAATAATCTAGAAAAGATTTCTAGCAAATGAAAAGTGTTATTTAAAATTCAGACATTTCTGTCCATAAAATTACTGTCCAAATATGTTAGGGTTTTTCACATGAGAGTCTTAGAAGACCACACTGGATTTTCCCATTTCATTTTAGAAGCCTTTGCCATTTTCTTACCAGGTTTTGGAGTCGCTTGTGGCACCCCTGGGTGCATAGTGGTACATATACTGGAGGCAGCATGGAGCTTCTCCATGGCAGGATCTCTGTTCCTGAGCTCAAGAAATGCTTGAAAAATCAAGATAATAGAATAATACTGTTTAATAGTACAGTTTATTGAAGAATAGCAAGGAAGCTTCAGGATTGCTGAATACACTAACTAGGGGGTCTAAATAGAAATAGAAAATGCACTAACTAAAGGGTCTTCATATCTATAGTAAATGCACTAATTAGAGGGTATTAATGTATATGGTAAATGCACTAAATATGGGAGGTTAATATGTACAGGTTTGGTGCAGAGGCCCCACAAGCACAGCTCTGGGCTCAAGCATCCCCTTCAAGGGCGGTGGATCAGCAGTTGTTTGAGCTGATGCAGCAGGCAAATGTTCTCCTGTATGGCCTTCACATGGGCATCCAAATTGCTGGCCAGGTGCTGAAAGAGGTTCAGTGGTTCGGCCAGCTGCAAGTCTGAGGGCAAATGGATCTCCATAGGAAACCTTTCATTGTCTATGACAAAGTGTTCCAGTCGTTTTGTCTTCAGCAAGCAGTGGAGGTACTTCAAGATATCCATCAGCTGCTGCCCTAAATCCCTCCTGCGCCACTGTGTCGGGGGCACGGTGTTCAGGAGGTGCATCAGCACAGTCTTCAAGGTGTAGCTGGACAAGCCCACACCCACTAGGCTGCTGCTGAGGAGCTGCAGGTGACGATGACAAAGGCAAGGAGTCATCTCCTGCAGGGGTTTGTAATCCAGCTTTATTTGGCAGCTCAGAAGACCTACCTGGGCCAGAAGGTAAACTGCCTGCAAG